CAGCTTGATATTTTTAACGCCTGATTTGTAGAAAACGTATCATTCTGTTGTAGAAACAGGGCTATATTGCACACGATAGCACAAGATAAGTATATTGGGAAACGAGTTGCATTTATTTTCCCACGCGGGTCAAATTAGGATTGCACTACTAAGAAAACCTTCCTGTTCGGCAATATTCAAACCACCAAACGGATACGACCATTATCGGGAAATGATCTGTATTACTTAGACCTATAATCATCATGGACTTTTTGAAGATGACCCTGATAGCCTTCACATGTGAAAAAGATGGAGTGATAACTTGAAGGTGAGTTGTGGCCTGATAACAACTATGCCCATATCCCGAATCAGCCAGGATGGATGCAGAATGTTAGAACTAGCGCTTGCACGTACACACTTAACTAATGTATTGGAAACGAAACCCTTTAACATCCATGTTGATGATGGAAACAAATTTTAGAGGCAATATTAGTCTTTAGACTATTTACACAAATAATGGTTAGGCGACAGTGGAATAAGAGTGTAAAGAGTAGATAGATAGGCAATGTCAAAAAGAGGATTGATATTTTAATCGTTTTCGGTAGAACGGTTGTCGAAGGATTGATTTCACTTGTCTCTTTGACATCTTCGTAGCCTAATGTAAAGAATGCCGGCAATCACTAATGATGCTGAGTACAATGCCAGTGAAACGTTTGAGAATGTATCAACTCAATTGACAGATGCTTGGAATCATTAAAACTACTATGGCAGACGACTTCGCACTAGGTGTGTTATGCATAGTTTTCCTGACAACAAGGCCAAGTTGCGACAACGAGGTCAACCCACTTCTATAAATCGAAACAAGACTACCTTCATATATGAGGCTACAACATCTTGGTCCTTTTATATTCAACTAAAATATTTCATTGTAAATACTTTGTGTTTTAGATTGGCCACACTATGGCGCTTAAAGCCTCTAACAACTCTCATTTATAGTTGGATTATTGAATAAAACCTAAGGTGTTTGAAATTCCAATTGAAGACTTTACTTCTTTTCGATCTAGATAGTTTTCGAGTTGGTAAGTAAATATTGCAAAAATTATTAGTCACCATAAGCCGCTTAAAATGAACTTTCTTATAGCGAGATTAATCAAACTCATATCGTTAAAGAATTTCATTTACTCTTGTCTTCCAAAAGTCTGGCTCATCTAGGCTGGACTGCAGATGTAATTAAGTGTCGTACCATTTCTATCTCACTTAAGTTCCATAAGAATTAACAATGGAATACGATAACGGATCACTTTGGAGAAGTTATCAATCCATTCCAATATATTTGGAGTCCATTCTGAGTGAGATAACCTTTTAGGAGGGAAGTCTAAGTGAAATTCACTGGCATCTTGAAGCCTATATATTTTATTGGGAAAAACTCAATTATCGGAGAGTAAACCATCTCAACCAACCTACGGTATCTCAGATTTTACCCTAGAATTACTGATGGTTTCCAAAAATACGTATAACGAAAAAAGTTAATGTGTATACTATCTTATCCTATTTATATTTAAATAATTCTTAATGCTACGATACTGAAAGCATATTCACGCAGCAAAAGTAAATGAATAAGAGAAATAGAGGTAATAACGTGTACATTATCTATAGATAAATATATAAATTCAAACTTATTGTTAAAGTAATTTAGAGTATAGGATGCTCGTCGATTTAAAATTTCCTCTTAGAACTATGAGTATTACTATTATCAGTGTAGGCAATTTAATTTTAATACTAAAATAAATGAACGTGAGGCTTTTAGATAAGAGTTGATTGCCACGTAAATTGTTTGTAAAGCGCTCGTCATTTCCTCTTTTGGCGTCAGCTTCAATATTCTTTCAGTGCCTTGATGTCCCTGCCTAAGTTTATTTCCGAAAAAGATGTTGAAATGCAAAAAAAACGCAGAGAAGCTGAGGGGAAGGGCGAAGAAAAATATGATCATAGGTCTTTATATGACCGCTTGCAGGCCGAAAAGCATAGGAAGCAGGAGGAGTTTGAATCCTCAATCGCTTTCAAGAACCAAGTACATAGGATCGACGAGGATGAAGCTAAATATTTGCAAACTCTTGCCGAAGTTAATAAGAAGAAAGAGCTGGATTCCGAGAAAGAAGTCGAGCAAATCCTGATGGAAGCTAAGATATCCTTTTATCAAATGATCTGTCTTATAGCCGCATCAAAACATAATTCGGCCCTTGCTTTTCAAGTTTTTCTATATTAAATTGCAGTGAACTTTTTTTGGCTTTAAATACCCTTTACAATGTGTCACAACCTACTTTATTATCTTTTAATTTATGTTTTATTCAATCATAATTGGATGTTTAATCTTTAACAAACATGCCTACACGCCTCAAAGTTACTGCATATCTCCGATGTTGCCAAGTATTCCGTCAATGATACCCCTAGGCCTCCACATAAAAAGCCTAACACGTCATCTATTTTTAGCCAACGTTCTTTGCTCATAGAAGCAATTAGAAAAAAGTCGTAAGTAACAGTCTTACTTCCTTGCAATGATTTCTTTTATATTCATAATTCTTATAAATTACAGCAATGATTCTGCAGCCGACAAAGAAGCTCATAATCATGCTCCTAAAAAATCAAGTGGGTTCTGTTCATTCTTTCAAATTTTTACATATTGAATATTCTTACCTTCAGACAAAGTCCACCCGTTCTATGAATAAGTTAACTTGATGCCTATTTAGGTTGAAGAGAAGAAATTATTTTTAAAAATAGTAACTTATTATTTTTTATGATCTCGCACTATTTTTGGCGTCCGGATGGGTGTAATGCTTAATCTTTAATTGATATCTCGACATTTTATACTACTTATGCATCCTTGTTTCACGTTTGCTTAATTATTAATTTAACTTGTAATTTTCCACTTACATGCAACAGTTCTTGTGTTTATTTACTCACTTTTGCCATATATATTCAAAATGTCTGTATTTCACTCAAGTCTGACCTACAACTTTCGCCTTATTTATTACATCAGCTTTTGATCAGCTCCCTTATTACAATTTTACGTTGAAAACCACTCTCCTTTCTCAGTTTGTCTGGCATTTTACTCGCCCACAATCAGTATATTCGGGGTAGTTTTGTCACTCACACATACTAGCCATTTATGAAAGGAATTTTTACTCAACTCCCAAACGTCATTAGTAGCTGGTCTTATAGGACTGATTTATCTCTCTATAAACACAGACCTAATTCGGGGCCTTTCGGTTGCTCTCATTTTAGCCACTGTATCTAGAATACCTTTTTAGTTATTTCATAAACATCTGCATTCTATCTTCCTGCCCCCAAGTGTCTACACAAGTTCTCGAATTCATCATTGTAAGATGTATTCATGTGTGTTGCTTTCGTGTCCATAGTTCGTTTAGTAAAATTTTTATTAGTAAGCCTTTAGTATAATGTTTACTACTTTTCAGAGGCTGACGAATCACTGGAAGATCATTATCTCGACATAAATGCCAACAATAAGGAGACTTATGCAGCTAGCACATCTCCATCGTATTCTCAGGGAATGGTAAATGTCTTCTTTCCAAATTTATCTTCAAGAAATCTTTTTTAAAATCCATTTCCTATTGATTAGGCCGTTATTCTGGCTGAGAATAACACTTAACTTATTTTATATCTTGATTTAGCAGGCAGTGCCAAGCCGCTCCTCTCCACCTCCTTCTCCCCCGTCAATCTCGACTGCCACTGGAGAAGAAGATGCAACTTCTGCTTCTACTGAGTCACGGATTCTAGTAGGATATCTTCCAGGCATTGGTAATTATGCTGACAGTCCACAGGAGAGTAGTAGCGACAGTTCGGAGAGCTCAGAGTCCACTGATATCGAGGATGCAGCTTGTACAATGTCTGATTTAGTAGATCGCGTAAGCCGACCCCCTCGTAAGGTTCACCTTAACGAATGATTTCAGTAAACTCGGCACAAACACTGCAATATACCTGTATTTAAATATATACTTCCCATTAATAATGACTACATTTTAACTGTATAATTCTGACTATGCGCCCTTTTGCAGCTCATATTTGCGCCCAGGCATACACGAGCATACAACCACTTGTATTCACAACTTCTTTACAGATGATTCGGCTTAACCTAATAGTATTACTGATTGCCCCCTTAGTCACATGAAAATTGCATGCCACGTGAAGGCGTCCACATTCAAACATGAATCATCTAAGATTTTCTATGCTTGGGCGCTGGGGAATTTCGGGTACTCTTAGCTTTCTTGATTTGCTCGTGTGTGCCAGGCTATTCTGACAGCCGCCCCGGGGTGGTTTGCTTTGAGATTATACACTCCTCGATTGCGAGAAAGGAATCAGAATTCCGGTCGTTCCCAAAATGGTACGCGCTCAAGCTGCAGGGGCAAAACAGCCCTACTTCCTTATTGAAATCCAAAGTAACCTTTTACCTGTATACTCCGCCATTTATCTAAGATGAATACAATCCCCTAGAGCTTTATTGGCCTGCCTTGGTCATTTGATCCAACTAAACGATAATGTTTGAGCAAGCCTGACCTTGCTGACCATTTATGCACCTGAGATCGATAAACACCAAATTGAATGGAATAAATTTATGCACCGGCACAACTAATTTTTGCATTTTGTATTAGCCTTTATTGAACCTATAATGAAAAGTTTATATTGGGTTGTGTCTTTCTCATTTGTTGCTTCGAAAAAGAAATCGAAACTAAACTCGCTCAGTAGCCTAATCTTAATCCCTTCATTCTCGTCTTACTTAATAGAATAAGACTCTAATTTTAAAGAGACCTAAGATGTCATGTTTTTCCCGTCGATGTCATGCTTTTCCCGTGAGACTGCCGAGACTTGCAGGCCCAAGTCTAACGGAGCAGGGCCTCGAGGGACGCATTCCAGGACCCTGCCAGATGCCATAACGAGCCCAGAATTTTCTCTTCTAATTCTTCTAATCTTCGTTTATAGGATTAAATGTTTTATGATAGGTCTGAAATTGATCATTACTGACAAACGTGAATACTCGGGAGTTTATCACATCAAATGCGGCAACTGTGAGCAGAAGTATATCGGTGAAGCAGGAAGAAAAATCGGCCTACGAATCAAGGAACATCAAAGAATCCGCAGGAACATGGATACACAAAGATCAGAAATAGCGGAACACATTGCACGGGCGGGGCATGAAATCGACCGATAGGGTGGCTGGATATGGTGAAAATACAAAAAACGCAAGACCAGAGAAACCATAGATATACTGACTGACAGGAATCTATTTAACAGAAGACTTGAAGAAGGTGGGATCAGCAAAAACTTTGCATATTACCTAAACAAACTAGAAGGCTAGGCAAA